TTTTTTTTTTTTTTTTTTAAATGATGCATGGGGTTGAAAATGAAGATACAAAATGCATGGAATGCTCCTTACCTCAAGAATGATGTCTAAATGCAAAAGATGGATAACTAATCATACCTCAAATGCTTATAAGAACAAAAACCTGTCATGTGCGGAGACAAAGTTAGTGAAGAAAAATGCCCCTTGTGTCTTAGACACGGATCCCTAACCTCACAAGTAGGATGCTAAGGGAAACATGTCTTAGGGTTGGTATCTCTCTAAGGTCAATACATGTTTTCCTAAAGGGCATTAGGCCTTCTCAACCATTTATCCTTTCGGAATCAACGGGAGATATTTCCAAAAGCTAATACACAGAATGATATTACATCATCAAGTGTCGTATTAACCAATGGAAACAACCTAACGGGAACCGATCTTATTCTTCAAAGCGGGAAGAATTGCTCTTCCAAGCCAGATTCATAAGGATTCCAGACTAGAGGTCGGGTTCACCTTCGACACGGACCTAATGCAAAAATGAGAGTGAGTGTGTGCAAGGGGCATGACACTCCAATAACCTACACAGTGGCAACCACAGAAATAGCAACATGTATCTCACAGTAATCAAATAAAGCATATAAAACACTTAACAAATATATCACCCACCAACAAACCTACTTACACAGCAGGAAGGGACTCACCTAGTATTCCCATGCCAAATGCAAAAGGTTAGTAACACAAAGCAACCAACACTTAACATGCAAAAAGATGCAAATAATCGCACAAGAGGGAAGAGGCTCACTGAGTACTCCATAGCCAAGTGCAAAAGGTGAGTATATCCACACTCAAGCAAATAGGCATGTAAGCATGATGCATGATGAATAAGCATATAATATCAATGATGGATGAGCATGCGAGATGATATGATGCATGAACATGTTAGCAAGGTATGATGCATGTCAAGATGTAGCAAGATAACTACTCAAAGACAAAAACGATCAAAGAAAACACTAAAACAATGAGCAACAAGCAACAAGCAACACACAACAAACACATACAATAAATAACAAAGCCCACAAAGACTCAACAAACACAGAAAAAAATCAAAGGTTGAAAAATTCCCCAAAGTTAAAGTATTAGCTCGACCCTCGTGAACCCAGAATATGAAAACCAGAGATTCTAGGTTCTGTCCCCAGTGGAGTCGCCAAACTGTTGACGACCACTTAAGATTTCTTTCAAAATAAATGAAAAAATCAAATGTGAAATATATAAGAAAAAGGAAGTGTGAAAATATAAAAATGTGGGAGTCGCCACTCGTCCAAATTATAAGGTGGGACAAGTCACCTAAAACGGGTCTGCACAGAGATTGGGGTTCGGGGGTTCGGTTAGGAGTGAGGAAGGGCATACGCGCACCTCACAATCCTCCGTTTAAACACGGTTGCATACTTTAACATTGGGGGTTTTGATTCAACTTATTCATCATGTTTATGTTTGAGTCTTAATAGGCAAACTTGAAAAAGAGATAAACTGAATCGAAACATTTTTTTATTTTTTGGACTAAAATGGACAAAATCAAAGACATGCATGCACAATGAACACAAGTAAAAATTAAGGGGACTAATTTGACTAAATTCAAAACATGAGGGACTGATTTGGTTAAATTCAAAACATAAAGGACTAATTTGAAAAGAGTTAAAACCCATGGACTGAATTGCTTAATTACAAAAGTTTTGGGTAAAACTTAAAATAAACGAAGATAATTTTAACTATGACCAACATTAAAGTTAATTGAAAATTTAAATTAATTAATTGAGATAATTAGTCTAATTAAATAATTAACTTAACATTAATTAAAATTAATTAAAATTAATTAATCACATTTACTCATCTTTAATTAAGATAATCAAATCAATCTAATTATCTCAAATTAAATTTTCATAAATATGATTAATTTATTTTAATTAAAATTAATTAACTTCATTAATCATAAATTAAACTTAACTCACCTAATTAATTAATAAAAAAAATTTTTTTTCTTTTTAACATTTTTTAGTTTTTTTTTAGGTTGGGTCGGGTTCCCGACCCACAAAAACACAACCCATCAACTAAAACAGGCAAAAACAGATCCAACATAAAAAAAAAAGAGAGTAAAATTACGGTTCGTCATTTTCAAAAGAAAGAACACATTCATCATAAAAAGATCACATTCATCAACGAAAAAAACAAAAAGGAAAGCACATTCATCAGACAAAATGAACTGAACAAAATTTTTTTTTTTTGATTTTTCATTCAATTTCAAACGGAACATGTACAGGCTTGAACATTAAACAAAAAGATGCAGAAATATTCACCAAAATAAGAAAAACACCCACGGCAGAGCTTTTTGGGTAAGATGGATCCAGATCTGATGGGAGGGATCCCACCCACGGGACCAGGCTCCCATCGTCCCCTTCACCACCATTCCCAGAAGGCTCCTCTGTTAAGAAATTACCTAAAGTAGAAGCAAACACAGAGAAATTAGCCTCCCTTTCAACCGCCGTCAGCACCAAGCTCAAACCAAAGAAAAACCCCTTCTATTGCTCTCGAAGCTCAGCCGAAACTCCCCAACAAAACAGACCCAAAATCAACCAACCATAAAATCAATACCGACCTCTCCTCTCTATCAAACTTCAAAAAACTAACCAACCCCCCTTTCAATCTGATTTTTCTCTATATATATACCCAAATAAAAGATAAAAATAATAAAAAAAAAGCCTTCTGTCAATCAATAATGATGAAGATTTTCTGGCATGTACTGTAGCGAGCAGAGGCAGGGGCATGGCTCGGTGCAGAGGGCATGATTGCTGGCGCAGAGTAGGGAGCAAGGGCGCAGGCTGGTGCAGGGGCGAGGCTCGGGCGTGCAGAGCTCGGTGTAGAGCTGGGCGTGCGAGGGGGCGATGATGGCTCGGTGCAGAGGATCTGGGCTGATTCGGGAGAGAGAAAAGTAAAAGTAAAAGTAAAAATGGAAGAAGGGGGTTCTGGAGAAAAAAAAAAGATATTTTTCTTTTCTTTTTTTTTTCTTTTTTTTTTTTTGGTTAAATGGGTTTGGTATTTGGGCTTGGGTTTGGGTAATTGTGGGTTTTGGGTTGTTGGTAGGATTTGGGTTTTGGGTAATTGGGCTTTGGTTTGGGTTTGATGGGTTTTGGGCTAGACTTTGCATTTCACCCCTCCAACTTTTAATTTCTTCAATTGAGTCCCTTCTTTCTTTTTCTGGAATTTTCCAATTTCCTTTTGCATGTAGCACCTGAAACAAAATAAAGATAGATTAGTCAAAGAAAAGGGAAATTTTCATATTTTTATATTTTTGATTTTTTTTCTATAAAAATTTGAGTTATGACACTATTGTTGCATTTTTTTCATGTGAATTGACCTGAAATAATCAACTTGTAGCTGAT